GGGTGGGGGTGGGGGGCGGCATTTTCACTTGATAAAGTTCTATGTATTTTGAAGATAGAGGCATAGGAGGAGATCCTGACAGGAAATGATATTTTGCAGGCTCGGATAGCCAGAAATAGTGGCTCTACTGGTGGCTTTCCTGATAATGATGAACATGTTCCTGTAATTGTGAAGCATTTGGATTCAGAATCTGTAGGAGTTGTCTCCACTGATCAGTCTAACCAATCCACAGGTTAGCATACCAGTTCTAAAGTGTACTATTTCATCCAAAATGATTTATTTATGGTCGTATGTTTGTTATTGCGTACTAATAGTTGGGCTGCATTTTTTCTCTAATTCTTTTTATGTTGTGTTTCCTTTTTTGCTTCTGGAAGAACTAGTTCAACTTGGACTAGATTTTATTGTTTGCTTGTGAGATAATTGTCTAATTTGATTTTTCAGCATGTTTAGTGTAATTTATTGCAGAGACAATAATTCAACAATCTGCAGACGTAGAGCAAAGTCATTTCCGAATTTTTGCTGCAGTTGTGGCCTTCTTTGTGACCTTATTTGCTTTCTTCCGATCAGCAACGCTGAAAATTTCTCGAGAAGTTCCCATGTTTATTTTGAATTTTGCCCGCAACCTTCATGATATCCTTGGACCAGATTTTAAAGAGAATTTGCAACAACCGTCAGTGAGTCCAGACATGACAGAGACAGAATTTCGCTTAGTTACACTCAGAAGGCTCAGTGATCTTGAAGAGAATGTAAAAACATTACAGACAAAGCCAATGCAAATGCCTTCTGAGAAAGAGGAGTTGCTAAATGCTGCAATATATCGTGTGGATGCTCTGGAAGCAGAATTGATTGCAACCAAAAAGGTAGCTCTCTTAATTGTAAATTTGTTACAATTATTAGTTTGTAATGAAATGTTTTTCTGATGTAAAATGAATAGAAAAAAACTCGAAGGGCAGCTCTTATTGTGTCCTGCTACAGGAAAATTAAATAAGTCTGAAGTGTTTGTGGTTCATTATATCATTGTTTGATGAACAGGCATTACATGAAGCTTTGATGAGGCAGGAAGATTTGCTTGCATACTTTGACGCACAAGAATCTGCTAGATTCCGGGTATATAGTCCTGAAAAACCTTGTTCCTTAAGCTATTGATGTGAATGCGGACTTTCCCTAGATGTTTGTTGCTTAAGTTTACATTGCTTACGTGTATTATTCAATCTGCAGGGGAGAAGGTTCTGCTGGTGAAGAAAGGGTTGCTGTTTACAGGGAGAAACTTGCCAAATATTCTTTGGGTCTCTTTCTCGGCGTTGTGTATTGGGGTAGAGTTTTTAATTAACAGAGGATCCTCCTGTATTTTCTGTACAGTATAGAGTTTCATATTTTTCTCCTGAGGTTAATATTAAAAGAAATGAGAGAAAAGTTAGTACTCGCATGTGTTTTCTAGTTTGTCTACTGTTGACATTTCTTGCGATTGCCCGTCTCAAGTGAAATTCATAGGTGCGGACGATATCTACTGATTTTTCTACAGCACCCCTAATGATATATATGATCATATGATTTTATCCCTACCCAAAGATATTTCCAATTTCAATCAACAAAACTGAGCAAGGCGACTCGTTAATGTCCCTTAAAAGTTGGATTCGGAGGCGGGACTACAAATGCTAACACTGAAAATGACCTGATGCAATTTTATTAAATTGGACCCTAAAATCATTTCTATAAGGAAAAATGTTTTCTAAATTATAAATTATTTAATGATAAAATTCAAGAATAGATTATGGGTACAAGTAAATTTCAAATATTGGGGCCTTTTTATAGTAGTTATACTTAGGAGGCCTATGCGATCAACCACCCTGTACATGCCTAGAATCACCCCTGGTTGGATTATTCACCATCACCACATAAAATGCTAGCCAAGACCTTAAATTTAAAACCATAACTGAGTAGATTACTGACTGAATGTATATTTTGACCACAAATAAGAAGACGATGATTGAGATATATTTCTGATTTATGCGTTCATAGAAACAAGAATCTGATACTTATCACTTCTGGTGGATTCCTGCAAGACAGAATATTGTGTTTACTTGCTATGAGCTGCTCTATGTTATGCTGGGAGATGTTTTCTTTAAAGCTTACATGTATTTTATGTAATTTGTTCCTTGTGTCGTGTACAGTTATGAGAAATTGAGGACTTTAAGGGGCATGACTAATGGTGGAAAAGAATGATATAGGTCGAAATTTTACAGAACCTGTTTTTCATGTTAATGTTCCTTGTGCTTCGCAGAAGCTTAGCCTTAAATCCAGTGAAAGCAAGCAGTTCAGGCAGAGATAGTAGCAAGCTAGCAGCAAGTAAAGAAAATATGGCCTATAAAAGCGCAACACAAATGTAGACATAGAATTGACATTTCTCTATGATAACAGCATAAAGAACCAAGTAGAGTTGCAAATAATATATATGCACATTCTTTTGGTAACATTTGATGATTAGAATCAGATTTTTCCAGTTTACAGGGAAAAAAATTAACACTGGTAGCAAAATAGCAACTAAAACTATGCAGCAAACTAGCACCCATACACATCATTTTAGTTTCTTCTCTTCCTTCTCATCTTTTTAGTGTTCCTTCAAAGCGCCAACACTGACTTATAGACGGAGCTCTGGAATTTCCTCAGCTTATTAACAATATATACAGGATCAGCTTCTCCGGTGAATATTAATGTATTTTTGGATGGGTTCAGGACTATAGAAATTTCCCCTTTTACAAGTGCGATTATTTTCATCACTTTCAGCCTGCACTTTAAGTAGTGAAGATCCACTGATACTATAGTTTTCTGCATCAAACCAAAACTAGTCAGATTAGCTAATACTATACCAAACAACCAGTGCACACAGCATAATGACGCTTAAATTTAAATCTCTGAACTTGAGAAAATAATACAAGTATTATGTAAAATTAGTTTTGATCTGTTAATGTAGCGTAAAACAATAACTTTAATCAGCAGAAAAATCTGTAAAATAACTCCATACACGACAGAAATATACAAACAGATTCTGCTGCACACTATATCAAGTTAAATTAAAGCACATAATGCAAAAAGATTACTCCATAGGTGAAAAAGGTCAAACCATAGACATAATTCTGAAAGAACTAGATACACAAATGGAGAATAAACAAGTTGGAAAGGAACAAAAACTAGATAACCCATTTATATATTCATGTTCACTACTCTTTTCTGATATTTTCACTCAGACGCAAGCAAGAATAAGTTTGTGGATTCTACCTATAGAATTTATCTTGGCAATCACTCAGAGACCAGTTGTATCCAGTAATAATTCTGGTCATGACAATGCCAGACGCTATATGTCACTTATATGCATTTAAACACCAAATATGGAACCTGATGAGGCTATCCGTGGCATAGTGTTCCATCCCAGTGATGCTCGAGAGTTCATCATGAGCCGAGCAAAGCTACAATCGGTTATGAAATTTAACGTCCAAACTGCAAATAATTGAAATTAGACATTACTCCAACAGAAGAATCACCATAGCAGCTAGTAATACGCCCACTTACATATATGAGTCAATTTTAGTTCTCTAATCAAACTATGACCAATAATTCATCAAAATTTAAGTTCCTCCGACCCTCATGGCAACAGATAATTCAATTTACAAGGGGCAACTCTCTGAATTCCATTTCACACTACAGTTCTTGCTCAAGCACTATGAATGAATTGGGAGCACAGTCCTAGCACTACATATCAAGTAAAACCTCAGTGTAAGCGTGTAGAATATCAAGCTAATGGATACAATAAGGTTAATAGAGAAAAGCATAAGAAACAAAAACAATGAAATAATCGCAAACTTATAACTCCTGTTGCATGAATCATAAAAATACTTGACAGTTACATTCCTTTATCTGGATCACTTAAAATAACATCGGCCCCTGATCAATAAAATTGCACATTTAGGAAAGGCAGAAATTCATAGTTGAGATAATACTAAATGTTCAACTACCAAGAAAAGACATTAAGAATTACATGTTGACATATTGTACATACATACCAAAATCTTACAAATTACAGATGAAATTTAAACACGAGGACTCGAGGAGCATCAAATATTGTAATCTAAACTATAGACATTTGGACATGAGCAATTGAGCATGCCTAAGATAACAAATATTTTCTTAAAGAGTTAACTAGGGTTACAGCAGCTTTAAGGACAATTATTGTCGATTTTAATGGAACTGTGCAATCCTCAACAATCAATACCAAGCAAAACCTTTTAAGAAGTGTTTTTCAATCTCAATATCCAGTTTCATACCCCTCAATGGTTTCCCCCATTTGCAGCACCACGCTCTACTTTGACCATCTGCTTGTAACTGTTGACTATCTTCTGATCCAACTCATAGTAGTATTCCATATTATTCAAGGGTTTCATATCAAGGTCGATAAAAAAATGCCTGCAACAGTGCACGGAACATAAGATCATCAAAGAGTAAACGAATGAAATTAAAGGACCATGAGAAACTAGCGTAAATAAGCATATGTAAACCTAACACATTCTTGATACCATTAAATAACCAAATAGGCATCCGATTAACCAATTACAAACTACGGTATATGTCAAGCGCCATGTAGAAGGATCCTAGAACATAAAAAAATTTACAAGATTCTGGTGAAATGGGGGGGAAAAGTCAATTAATTTATCAATATTATCATCCGTATTAAACACCTTCATTTAAACCTAGCTAACTGCTGAACCTTTCTCTGTTGAATACAGGTATACAATCATATGGTCTTTTTCTGTGATATCAACATTATACAACTGAAGCAAACAACTTTAAATTAGACCAGGATAGATCTTTACCTTGACATCAAACCTTTGCTTTGTTGAATCCAGGTATATTGTCCTATAGTGTGATTCTTGATCATCATCTTCCCTTGGACGGAAACTAATCATTAAACTACAGTCCTTGGCTGTTGCAGCTATCAAGTAGTCCCTTACAATCTTCAGACTTTCATCTACAGGGATTGAATGCAGAGAGCTATACTTTCCTAATTGCCTGTCTTCACCGGAATCTTTACATATCTTGCAAGGCTGGGAAACAATATCATAATAAGCATGAATTGCCCCTTCCACATCAAATTTGTCAAGCTTTTGGACTTCAAGTAGCCTGTCTAGTACACCGGATTTAAGTATTGCCTCTCCTACAAGATGCACAAAATTCCTTTTACGCAAACCATTTTCTCCATGCAAGAAAGATTTAAGATTATCTTCAAATGCCTCAACCTTAACAAAATCTGTCCCTTGGTCACCACCCCCCATGCCCCCATATATTAGGGAGCTATTTAGAAAAACCCGCAGATTATTCTGTGGATTTGCAAAGAGAGCCTTAAATGCTTTATGTATTCGCTCCCTTGATCCAGAGAATAAATCCAATGGGTCATAATCGCTCAATTGCTGTATCTGAAATATAAATAGAGCCATGTCTCACTATCAGGAATACCAAATGATCAGCATCAAAGTCATCTCAGGTAGAAAGTAATGGCATTTATCTATTGGCACATTGCATATGCAAAAATATCACTATTTGATTACATCTCCTTGAATAAAGATCATGCAAAAAGAAGTAATGAGGGTTACCTTTGTTGTTGCAATTTAAGGACTTGGTGCATTTTAAAACGAGATACATTCTTCTTGATGGCATTTTCATCAGCTATAAAGCTCGAAGATGGAAGAAATCCCCACTTGGGCTACTCATGGGAGACAATAGAGTTCTTATTAGTAATAAGATCAGATTTTTACTAATTTGGGTTAGTTAATTGAGAATGAAATCTATTATATTAGTCATTAAAATGAGTACTGTCATATGAAATTTAAACCACCTTAATTTCCACGGACAGGCATGGTTTTCCTTTAGATGTGCCTACAAGAAAAACCAAACAGAATGATCAAGAAGGTAATTTGAAGCAAGCAACGAGTAGTCACTTTTTTTTTATTAAAAAAAATAAATAAAAAGCAAAGAAAAAAACAAAACACAAACATATTAAGCACAATGTCTGCTCTATGACAAGAACAAACTTACAAAGACAAAAGTCAGTGAAATAAAATCAAAGTTTTCAAACTATTCCGAATTGGAAGAAGCAATCAGAAGGATTTATAGCATCCAAAACCCTAGCAAGCTATAACACACTGTATTCATAATCAAATACCATATCTAAATCTCAAATTTATTTGACAAATTACTTGGATAAAATAATGTTATGATAAGTTGATAACATATAAACTCATGTTTTCTGAAAGTGATAACATAATTCGTCATATCCTTTGCTCTATCAAACAAGTAGCAACATGATATAGACTAAGGCTACATATATCATTGCATTCATCAATATAACACCAGACAGGAATACGATTGTATCTAAAGTGAAACTCAGGTATGCACTACTTTTTCTACTTTTCTGACCTTGCTACATAAGGGAAACTCAGGTCGGTGTAAATATAAAAAAGAAATGGAGAAGCGAAAAAATAAAGAAATTTATATTGTTTCCTAGTGCTACTTACCTTGGGGGAATACTGAATGATCTGACATTAGCAGCACAGAATCAGCACCGCAATCCACATTGGCAGCACTAACTCTCCAACCAGGGCGCTGGGAGAGAACATTTCTTTCAACCAATTCCAGAAATTCCCTTGATACAAGAATCTTTACCTGCAAGCTTGCAAAAACCAAGATTTCGTCAGCGCTTCTACTTCTACAATTTCCCGAGTCTTAAAATGAGCGGATCACAATAATGTCCAAAGAGTAATACTAGTTGTACAAATTTGATGCACATTTCTTTAAGGTTTCCGCAAAACCTTAACATCAAGATATTTTTCATGGCTGGTTAAGTGTTGTAGTGAAGGATGATGGTGGATCAAAAGCATGATAATGATATAGAGAAAATTATATTATCACATCCTCTACAGTTGATTTGAATATGTAATTAAAAAGAAAATGGGGAAAGAAAAAATGGCCTCAACTCCTCAAGTTTAAGCAGTCTTTGCAAGACCAACTTAAGCCAGTTTAATTTTTTTTAAAAAAAAAAAAAAGAAAAAAGAAAAAAAAAAAAGTACTAGTATTTTTGAACTTCTTTATCCCTCACAGGTGGTTGTCATTAGACTCATCACTCATTTTCCTTCTTCGTTTTATTCTTCAATATGCTTCAAAACAGACGCTAGTTTAACTCTAAGATAAGCATTAAGCACAGTCTCATGTAGACTTTAGAGTCTAAACACACAACCACAGAATTTCCATGCATAACAAATCGACATAATATTCTTCATGACAACATTAGGGATGGCCTTTATTATAGCAATTTCACCAACTTAAGTTTTTGACCCAACAAACAGGGCATAGACAAACTGAAAATTACACATGCACCAAATACACACATGCACAAAATACACTAGCAATAGACAATAGTCATAAGTCAACATACCCCAGGATCAACAAACTCTGATCCTAACAGTGGGATCATCACACATTGCACATACATCTGCTCAGCGACCTCTTTGTTTGGGGATGTAACAATAGCTTCAACATCTTTCCATAAGCTGCATTCATGCTCAGACAAAACCGAGCGTTCAGTCTCTTTTATTGACCCATTCCTAGGGACCTTTGGCACCCGTATTATTTTTCCACTCTGCATAAGGGTGGAAAACTGATCAGCAACCAGAAGTAATTCACATACAATCCAACAAGCATGCAATTTATCATTTAGCATTAATGCCCACCAGAAACAGCCAACAGCCATCCAATGACCTGTTTTGTTCACATTAATTCCACTTACGGACAAAGTGAATTCAATCACGGAATTAACGATTAATAAGTTTAGATAAGAAAATTTCAGGAATATAAGTTCAAATAGTTAAGTTTGGGGAAAAAAGGACTGCCAAAGTTCAATTTACAACCCATACAAGTTCTAATAAGTCCAGTCAAGGTCAGATAAATTCAAATGCATAAAAATCAAGTGAATTGAACACACTCTTAAGTCTCTAAGCCTTATGGAGTATGGACTCGACATCAAGATTTTTGTTCTTTTCAATTCTGTAAGTCATTAAATATAGCCTATTGAAGTTAGGCAAAAGAGATTAACTTTAAAACTAATACAATTCCAATTTAAGCAGTATAACTACATTGAATTGAAGAGAATAAAAGTACAGAATTTAACAAAACTATCAGAAGAAAACAGTAAAAGTGAAATTCAGTTCAGATGAAGCTCAATTGGAAAATGAATCAGATATAAAGATAAAAAAGCCATTAAAATAACATGCAATACATTAAAAGTGCAGGAATCAAAAAGTTAAAAATAAAAAATAAAAAATAGATAAATAAAACATACAAAGGTAGGAGATGATCCAGAGTATGCAAGAACTAAATTAATTGCTCCTTCCCCTCTGTAACACCAATCACCTGCATCTTTTTTCTCCAAAACTACCTTCATTCTGCAATTTAAATAATCAAAACTGAATTTCAAATTACAAATTCACAAAAACTAAATTCAAGTTATATAAAATTTCAGAAATGGGAATCAACATTTGGTCCAAAATTCCTTTAAGTAGAGTACCCTTTTAGAAATTTTATTGGATTAAACTAAAATAAAATAGAGAGAAAAAAAATTAATCAAAAAAAATATTCCTGTAGTATTAATTAATACGCAAATGAAGAAAAAGTATATGTGAACTGGAAATTGAGATTCTGTCTTAGCAAATAATAATACAGTAGAACATGAGGTGTGATTCTCAAGAAATTCACCATCTTTTGCAGTATATAAATGCTGGGATTAAGAATTAAGATGAAAGTGCAAAAAAAAAACAAATAAATAATTATCATCTGAATATACATTTCAATTAAAAGTCAAAGTTGAAAGGGACTAAAAAGTTGAATGAATGACTACATTATTGACTGTTTAAGGTGGTTGAAGATCTGAGTATGGCAAATGGGTGTCTGTAATTTGAAGTAATTCGCCGGAAAAAATGGAATTTCGACCGGAGAAATGGGTTATTCCGGTGATTGGATTTGGATCTTCAGATTTTTTTTCCCTTGATTACTTTTCTGATGGAATTGTTTTTGTTTGATGTTGGTAATTTGTGGGGTATTTGATCTGCTATTCTGCCTAACCTCACCCACGGCCCACCCCTTTAGCCTCGTGGAGGGCTCCTACGGACAGTTGGTGCAAGAATTTTGTGGGCTGGCCGACATCATCAGAAGTCAGTAATGGCCGGACTAGGCCTGAGTCCGACCACGGGGCAGCCCGGACTTTGCCCAAAAAAAATTGGCCCATTTAGCAATCGTGTCCAAACCCGTTATTTCAAGTTAAACATAACAGGATTTTCAAGCCGAGTCAAAATTTTAACTAAACTAGGGTGGCTACATAGCTAGCAATATTCAAAAAGCTCTTTCGGATTGGCCTTACATCACAACTTTAATTGTTAGTAATATTAATGAGGGAAAAATGTGTAAACAAATATTTTTAGAGGTATAAATGTCCGCACACTATTCGTAAGAGTTTAAAAAAGAGCTAATTAACATTAATGAGGGCAATTAAGTAAATAAACATTTTAGAGGGTATAATTATCCAAGCACTATTGTTCATAAGAGTTATCTCATACTTTTTAAAAGGTAGGGATTAGGGCGGATAACGCGAGTCATAGCTAGCCATGTCCGATTAGCTATTTCGGCTTAAGAAAGAGACAATTAACATTAATGAGGGCAAATAAGTATACAAACATTTTAGAGGATATAATTGTCCAAACACTATTCACAAGAGTTATCTCATACTTTTTAAGAGGTAAGGAAATTGATTTTTCAAGCTGTCCAAACCTAAATTTTGTTTTTTGGAAGCTTGGAATAATTCAATTATAAAATACCATCCAAACTTGGGTTTTCTTCGAGCCAGACTTGGTTTGATCAGGTCTATGCCGTTTATCTCATCCAGTCATAGGTATGGTAATTTGGTAACAATAAACATGTCATATTATCATTTAATTCATAGGTAAAGTACTATTTCCCTAAAGCTACTATAGATTGAAATTGAAAATTAAATTTGAATAAAGAGTATTAAAAAAACACACAACTATACATTTTGCTGCTATGTTGTATATTGTATATTTCTAGTGGACAAGGTGTCTTAGTGGCTCTCGGTTTTTTAATGCTCTCCATCATCAATTCGGTTTTAGTTGCCTCCTTCAATCACATTTTGTCAGTTTTCAAGGTTCCGTCGTCGATTTGTCATCATGTTGATAACATGCTAGCTTGCTTCTGGTGGCGTTCCTTGACTGCAACCAAGGGTTTAGCTCTACGGTCTGCTTCTCTGCTTCATCTCCCTAAGGGACTAGGAGGTCTAGGTATTCGCAGTTTGGAGTGTTTCAATTCGTCCATGTTAGCTAAGCAGTGTTGGCACATTCATCATCATCCCCAGCTCTTAGTTTCGAAGGTTTTATCGGCCAAGTATCCATCTCTTTTCTCTTTACCTTCAAGTAGGAATCCTAGATCCTCTTGGTGTGGATTGCAGATTAGCATGGACACTATTGCCAAGGGTATCGCTTGGAAAGTTGGCTCTGGCTCTCAGGTTCGCATAGTTGAAGATGATTAGGCTCCATGGGGGCAGTACAATTCAAACATTCTTATGGTGGGTCGGATGTTCCGACTTATGTTTCCTCTATTATTAATCTACGTTCTTACGCATGGGATCCTTCACTAGTTCACCGGTTCTTTGATAACAAGACGGCATTTCGGATTCTTTCAGCAGAACGCCCTCTAAAGCTGATGGATGACTTTATGTACTAGAAGTTTACTCAGGATGGCCAGTTTTCAACCAAGTCTGCCTACGCTATGTTAACCCGTCAAGTAACGGCTTCGAGTATCAATGGGCAGGCTTCTGATTCATGGTGGAAGTTTTTCCGGGGTTTACCACTTCTTCCGAAGCTGAAGGTTTTTTTGTTGGAAGATGATTCGCAATGCTTTGCCGCTTTCGGATTGTCTCTATTGGCGTGGTTTACCAATTAATCCAACGTGTGTGTTTTGTCGTAGGGAACCAGAAACGCTGTCTCATCTCTTTCGGGACTGTGCTTTCGTGAGTACTTCTTGGTTTCTCGACCTTAGGCTCGGTTGGTGGTACTTTAGGTTTCCCGCCGTTTGAGGTTTGGTTTATGGAGTTGATTTCGGGTTTTAGAAGGTTTAAGGATTGGAAAGGTTTAACTTCTTTGGTTTGCATTCTTTGGGCTATTTGGCTGGCTCGAAATCAAATCATTTTCACTCAGGCTCTTCACTCTCCGGCTTTGATTTTCCACATTTCGGAGGATTAGGTGATGCGTTGCGAGAAAGCTAGGGTATTTGCTGCCCGACATTTTGTTCCGCGTCAACCTCGCTTTTCTTCCTTGGTTCCTGTCTCTGGGTGCTTGTGTGGTTCCACTATCGATTCTCTGGATTTCTGCTTAATTTTTGACGGTGCTTGGGATTTTTCAAGATAACGCTGCAGGGACACGCTGGATTTTCTGGGGTATTCAGTCCTCAGAGGTTTAAGGGGGTGGTTCAAGAGCTTGTCGATCTTCGTCTGCTCTTCAAGCGGAACTTTAGGCGTGTTTATGGGCTCTTCAGGCTGCAAGTCGTCAGGGGTACCTCCGTCTTCTTCTTATTTACACAGATAGCACTACTCTTGTTTCCCTTCTCTGTCGCACTTGCTCGGATGATATCTCGTGCGCTTGGCTTTTGTAGGACATCCGTACTGATTTTTTTACCTTTTTCAGCTTGTCATATCAGGAAGTTCTTCGGAATTAGGTCTCTCCTGCTCATTGGTTGGCTGCGGAAGCTCGTCGTCGTAGATTTCTGTTTTGGTCTTTCTAGTTTTCTTTTTATTGTTGCTTTTGTTTTTGTAGTTCCCTTGCAAAAAAAAAAAAATACATGTGACACACCAAGCAAAGCTCGTTGGAATTGATGTGAAACTCACCTTGTGACTTTGAAGTCACAAATTCGAGCCCCCCACCAACTACATTTGCTTGGGAGTAGGGGATTCCCTTACTCCCCCCTCTATCTACACATCTATCGAGAGGGGTAAATCGTGTTGCGAATTGAATAGCTCATGTAGGCCATTTAATATCTAGGTGGTATGGATATTGATATTTGTAAAAGCTCTAGTTCATTTTACCTTTCTTCTAATACTTTAGGAATTCGCATCATGAGAAGAGTTTTTTTTTTTTTTTCTTTACCTTTTCAAAATATAAATACATCTTCCACTTGTTCAAATATTAATTCGGCTGAAATTCGAATTACAAAGAAATAAACTTATTCCCTAAACCTCTAATACTATTGTAGATGCCTTAATTAATATTACGTGTCTATTTGCTCAATTAATTGACAAGACTTACCATATCGTCTTATCTAATCTGAGAATTTAGTAATCAGCCTCAACGAATAAACTTAATTTTCCTCCATGTGATAATTTTCTGGTGTCTAGAATAAATTCTAATGATGTAAACTATTCTAATATTGTCGGTCCGTGTTTTTAATGTGTTGTACGATGTTCAAGACTTCAAGGTACTAACATTGACGATGCCTTTGACAACGTTATACAAGTAACTTATTTCAGTATACTTCAACATTGCAATTAAAATCATTATTTACAACGTTTTTAATAACTTTGGATCTTATTTCATATGTATATATGCATGTCAAGTCACCATCATATAAAAACATTTGAAAAGTAAAACTACAAGATCAAATTGAAAAATGCCTCCATTTTTAGCTTTCGTACTATGTTGTCTCTTTTGCTTATAATTTTCGATACGAGTACCTATTTTTAGAAGTTGAATTAATGGGTGGCACGCGTATGAAAGTAGAATTTACAAAATTAGTAGCTCAATCAAAAAAACAAAAATTGAAAATTTAATGTGCGCAATTTTTCACAATTATTAGCTTTGTATTAGTAATTTAATCAAAGAATACATCTGTGTAATTTGTCATGTACTCCATACTTATACTTTATGTACATTATTATATTATATGTATCGACCTTAGTAAAATAGACATGGTAACAAATATTTTGCCACTTTCTTCATATGTCCCTAATATGAAGTACTATTGAACACACAATGATAAAAACTAGCTTTACATCCTAGTGTATCCGATTGACCTCCTTAATTATTGCAAAACTACTTGCAAATCAAAATCTTATATTCCATTATTTAGCAACTCATACATCATATAACCGAGTGTGTCTTCTAATGATGACAATTAATTTCATAAATATGTGACCATTTTGAGACAAATCAAATGACCAAATTTGTAATAGCTCAATTGAAATTGATATAAAAATAATAATTGTTGCTCATTTATTTATATGAGCAAAACTATACTTTCGGTCAGTTAAGGGAGTTGAGCAAAAATTTTATTATCAAAACAACAACCAAATAGAGTCTCATTTCCTTAAAACAAAAATATTTCACGACACAAAACATTGTATTATTTGGATATATATTGACGTAAAAGGTTTTTCAATTTAATCAATCTTGATTCTTGAGACAAATAATTCATAATTCTCTTGAAAATAAGTACATGTAACTGTTAGGTTTAACGAAAAAACAAGATAGATAATCAAATCATATAAGTATTAGCTCTATATATAAGAGCAAATTGATTGAGGGGATATTCATGATTTTTTATTTCTTGGATAGTTTGGTGAGTTTATAATTTATCCGTTGTGGAAATAATTTAAAGAGTAATGATAAATGTAGCCCTTAAGATTATATACAAATATTAAAGAGATTTCCTCAAATGG